GTTGATATGCGGCAAATGACCCTGAAAGCCTCATTGTTAACATCAATCTTCTGTTCTGTCGCATCCACAAGATGAGACAGAACACCGTTACGAATTTGTTTGTCCTTTACTTAACCACTGTGTAGGGTGATGTTCGGAAATCCAACGAGAATTACGCCTTATTGTAAGGCTTTTAAAAACTGGTTCACTCCACAGGAGCAGTTTTGTAGATTTCTGCTTTAATCGATTCTATGGTGATTATTTTAATTGGCTCCACTACTATCTACAAGCTTTTAGTTTCTTCTCCTCAAATCATCTTACACTCGTGACATTCAAATGAACACACAACTCATTGCTTCCTGTTTGGGTTCCATTAAACCCTCTATCTGGTCTGTAAGGTCTTTTGGAGGTTTCCATGGTGATTAAATTCCTCAAATATTTCGGGTAATAGATTGTTGAATGGTTTTTTGGTTGAATTTCTTCTTGTTAATCTTTTCTAGCTTGCCATCTATCTAGGCTAGATTATCGAGCTAGCGAAGGCAGGTGTTAGTGGACTTCTGAAGTAGACTGTTATTGCAAGCGCTAAGTCGCTATGGTATATAGTAGCACTCATTGACCTGGAGCAGGCGTTAACAGTTATCACCTGTTTTTGAAGTGCTGCTCTGCAAGGATTTGATTGGCTACAGGATTTCATCGTGAACTGACGTCGGTTAGAAGAGCGGAAAACCAACACTTGAAAATTATTCTGATGCTCACTAGTGTCTCGCCTTGTTCACATAGTTAGCTACCCAGATTCTAGGGGGAATTTGTGACTAATGAGTGGAGTAGAGTAAGTAAAGCTGCAGTGAAAATACTCGCCACCGATGACAATGGCTAATGCAAGTCACACTATATCCTGCATGGAGTATGAGAAGTTTGGATTCATGGACTGGTCATTGGCTCGGGACCCATCGGCCTAATGTTCTACGATTTCGCCTTCTAATCGGAAGACATTGAGTTCGAACTCCTGGAGGTGGGTGCGTACTGCTGAAGAAGAATCCCAAACACTAGGACAAAACACCTGTTTAGAAGTCCTTGGCTAGCTGAATCCGTCTAAATTTCATGTAGTCAGTTTCACTTTCAGACGAAAACCTGACGTACAACAACTAGCTAGCTCACTATCATTGATGGCATAGAGGTTGAAATTACATTTAATATCAAGTACCTTGGACTGAGTATTTCCTCCGATCTTTCCTGGTCCTATCACATCTTGCTAGTTACTAGAAAGTCTTTACTTTCTCAATTTGTAAATTCTTGTATTCTACCCATCCTCCTTTACTGCTCCCCATTAGTCTTTCCTGGACTACTTAAGAAAGACTTTGCTTCGCTGAGAAGGGCAGGGACTAAAAGCCGTTAGTAGGGCAAGTGGGATATCGTTAAACCAACTGGTTAACACTATTGTAGATAGACATATAATGTCATGTAAGAAACTAGCGAATACAATATTGTCGGACCCCGAGCATCCTCTCTATACGCAGCTGTCTCCTTGCATTTCATCTTGTAGAGCTAGAAGCAGCTATAGGAGGCTATATGTTAGGACTACCAAATACAAAATCTCCACATAACCATATCTGGCACAGCTGTTATGTGATGAGAAATCCGTTAGGTATGACACGAACAGCTTACTGTGGCACTCTAACAAATAGTCCCATTAGATTCCGTCTTCCTTTCCTCGTTACTATTACACTGTTGTTCTCATCTTCTATTACACACCAATTTTATATTTCATATCCCGTGGTGCATGTTTAAAGTGTGAATGTAACGCTGTTCTTTTTTAATTTTTTTATTCATCTTTTTTTGGGTATTGCTTTTTGATTTTAAAATCTTATAAAATTTATGAGGTAATTAGATGCAACATTTTAACGCACGCTGAAAATTACATACCTGTACCACAAATAGTCAATTAGAAACAGGCTTTGTCGGTTAAAGGATCCTGTGGAGCCATTAAAACAAAACAATTTAGTTTATCTAATACCCTGACTGCAATGATTGTCAGGTCAAATGCATAGGTCAAACTAGTAGAACAGGGGCAGTCAGTCAGACTACCTGAACATAAAAACCTAGCAAAATCTGGATTGGTTGATCCGTATAAGATAAGAAATCTAGAAAATAGTTCAGCTTTAGCACTACATGCAGTGACACACAACCATGCAATAGGATGGATGGGATAGGATGACAGTTTTAAAATCTAATGTCACAGGGTATAGGGAGAGATTGATAACAGAAGCTTTGTTTATCGAATCAACTGCAAATACATGTAATAGGAATGATTCAACACCTGGCCCAGATATCTGGAAGATTCTACATCCCTACGACGACAAATAGGAGACGACAAAGAAAACTATAAAACTCAAATCTCAAAGTTGTGTGACCACAATTGATATGATTATGAACAATAAATTGTGTTCGAAACGTCATCCAGTATACAATACTGTTTCACAGTGTGATACATCTAATAAACAAACTAATATGGAATTACCACAAATACTGTTTGGAATAAAGCTATTATTATTATTTTCCATTGGTTCTCTAACCAATATCAGTTGATGATCAAATCATACCACATTTTTTGAGCTGAATGTTTGTTTTTGTGTGGATCTTCTATTCTGCTTCTACGATCTGATCTTCGTTAACTTTAGCAGAGGGATCCACGTCGTCGTCTGTATCGTTGAAACTATGGTGACCAGATGATAAGAGAAAGAGACAGTGTGAAATAGAGAGATAAGAAATTAAATTCAAAACTCAGCTAGCTGATTACATGCACAGGTTGTTAGCAGTTGTTAAAAATGTCTCGGAAGTTTACATAGCCAAAATGATTGAGAACGCATACGGCTGTATCGAAGATGTTCTTAAGTAATACGGCAGGTAGTTTTGACGTCTGACAGCCTGTGCTTCGACGTGGTGCAGGCCGTCTTCTGAATACGTCGTGTCATCTAAGGATACCAGCCTCAATGGCTTGGACATCATGTGCGACGAATGTCACGCTCATCAGTTGTTAACTCTTCAAATACCTGTCAGAGAATTTAGTTCCCAAGTGCTGTTTTGTAGGGATTTGATCGCTTTCAGCACCGGTTACGAGCTGATAACAGTTGGAGGATTACTGAATACTCAGGTAATTCTGAACAGCTGTTCTTTCCCATTAAATTAGTGTTTGAAGACTAATTTGTCAACATGACCGACTTGGGCTCGATCCCTGTTAATGTTGTCGCTGTGTTCAACTGAAGAGTCCCAAACCAACTTTCAAGAGAATTTTAGTGTTTTTACTAAGGTATTTTGAAACCTATAATCACATTCAACATCGCTATCGAGTATTTTGACTGCTCTTGAAAGTGTAGGCTTAGCTCTATTGTCAACCGTCGTCCCTTCTCTCTCTCTTTTTGTTCCGTTAGCGTTAGATTCGTACACTTTTCAGTCTATTGATTTAAGCATAAAACTTGGGCACTATGGTAGAGTATAACTCCATTATTATTATTATTATTATATCCTTTAATTCTAAGAGGAACACAGAATTTTAGCGGCAATTTTCCACTGCGTTTGGTATTCTGCTAAAGTTTTCACCTGGCTCCAAGCCTGCCCACATGATTTCATCTTCTCTTCACATCACCTCCTCAATGTCACCCTTGCACTGACTACCAACTCGCCGATTCCCTTTCGGATTCCACTAGAGGGCTTGTCTAGTGATGTCACTTGATGGGTTGTTTTCTCAGAGTATGGCCAGTCAATCTATGTCCATTTCTTCCTGTTTATTTGTTTCACAATCGGTTCCTGGTTGGTTTCTTCGCTCCCAGAGATCCCTCGCTGTTGCTGATCTTTTCTCGCCATTTGATCGTGAGTAGTTTTGAGTAAAGACAGCTGTTGATGAAGGTCTGTAGTTTGTTTGAGATACTCTTCATGAAGCGCTGACCAAGTCTCTGATCCGTATAGTGAGTAGCACTGACTTCACATTGAAGTTGAAAATCTGGATGTTATCTTCACTTCCATGTTGAGTGCTGTTGACCTCCACACAGACTTGAGAGTAATGAAAGCTTGTCTTGCTTTTCCGATTCTGGCTTTGATATCCTCGTCAGTTCCGTCCACCTGTAGTTGAAACGATGCTTCCCAGGTAGGTAGATAGGTAAAGGAGGTTGTTTCTGTCAGGTACCTCCCATTTATGCTGGTCAATTGTTGTCTGTTGTTGTTGTTGCTGTTGGTGTTGGCCAGGAATCTTCATCACCACATTTGTTTTCTCTATGTTCCCCTGAAGTGATGTCTCATCTCCTGTGGATGCTTCTTCTATGGCCAACTAGTTACTTTTTACTTGCATATCTTCCAGTTTATGGGAAATCAGACATATATCACTGGTGAAGTCCAGATACTCCAAGTTTTTCGTTAAGGTCCATTGCCCATTTCCTCATTGCTCATTGTCTGTCTCATTATCCAGTTTACTGCAATCAGGAAGATCCTCACATGTATATAAATGAAGAAAAAATTTGTGTGAGTGAGTGACTTATTATGATTATGAGCGGCAATAGTTTGTGCTCGAAGCGTGTGATCATCACTTAATAATTACTGTGTAACTCTGTGTGATTTATCAAAATAAAATCTTATCTATAATGGCGTTTTCAGTCTAATAGGTCGTATTATCCGATCATATCAGAAAGAATTGACTGACTTTTGATCGGTTAAGATATTCGAATGCGTATCCATTATTAACAGACCAGATAAGAGAAAGATGACTGCCATTCAGAATATGTTTGCAACAATTGGTTTGTATTACGTTTCATTAGTTGCATACTTTCTTGACTGGAGCCTACAGAGGCTGACAATGAAATTCTTACTTCTCATCATGTTCATCCCACTTTAAGTTATTCAAATATGACTTTGTATTTAAACGCGCATTCATCCATCGATTTTAGTGATTGTTTTTGTGTCTAATAATCTTAGTTTTTTTTATTGAATCAATATATTGATTTATTTTTCAATTTCTTCTTTTTATTGTTTAGAAGTCAACCATTCTACGACTACTTCTACTCCCACTACTACTACTACAGAGGTGATCACATTACTGGAAACCCCGATAGATTCCCTCCCCGCTGACGGTCCAACAGTCACGCTGTTATCAGCCCCAAGAACACCCCACTATTCAGACAGTGATTATCAAAGTGAACAAGATACTGCCTGGACTAGAAGTTTGCATAGTCAACAATCTTATCCACCAACTCGACAGTCAGTACTCCTGGATCCTCAACAAACCAAAGGTGGAAAACTTGAATCCAATTCTTCATCCCCAGCAGCTAGTAGTCGTGCAAGTACAGTGTTTTGTCCACCATGGGATACGGCTCCAATCGGCCCATATCTTGCTGATTTATTAAAGCTAAATCCACCATTTTCAAATCTTGATGAAAACAATCAACCTTCTTCAAGTGGTGACCAGCATCACAGCATCCATGCCGACCAACCATGTCAACATCAAAAACAGCAACAGCACCGTAGAGAGTCAACATTTAACCGACGTAAAACATTCTCTAGCGTTGAACATCAGCTGTGGGCTGAAAAATTAGCTGCCGATTATAATAACTATTGTTCTTCATCATGTTCAATAACATCGACACCACCGACAATGGGAGATGTCAGCAATAATAACAACAGTAATAATAAGCTGGACGTCCATAATCTTTTTTGGCTATGGCAAGAGCAACAGCAACAACAACAACGACAGTCGCAGGTGAACGATGACAAATCATCATCTGTTTCAATGGGAAATATTGATTTATTGAAAAAACTACAAAATGAGTTTAACAGAGCGATGAATACGCCTCATACTGAAGGGGAGAAACCGCCTCCACTACCAGCCAGAAGTAAACGAAGTGTACCTATCAGCATGAATCATACTAACAACAGTAATAGTAATAATAATAATAACAGTAACAATATAGATAACCCTTTAAGTTTATCGAACCTATCAAAGAAGAACAGTTCAGATTTTAAGGGGTGTTCGTTGGAAGATTTTACAAATGATATAAGCGTAAGTTGGTTTATGAAATAAAAATCAATTTTCAGGTGTGTTTGTTTCTAAGGATTTTGGTTAGTCGACGATTAAAGGATTTCCTTATGAGCCGATATCGGCTAGAGAACCATTTGAGTGAAGACTAGCCAGGAAGTACTGGACAACTGTTTCGTCCTAGTGTTTGGTATTCTTCTTCAGCAGTACGCACCCACTACCACGAGCCGACCCCAGGATCTTCTGGTTAGAATGTGACCTCCTAGAACATCAGGCCATTGGGATCGGAGACGATGACCAGCCCGTGAATTCCAACTTCTGATTCTTCACTCAGGATATAGAGTGACTGGTACTAGCCAGTGTCATCGGTGGGAAGTATTTGTCCCACAGTCGGCCTGCTGTACCTCACTCACTGGTCATGACTTCCCACCTGAATAGGGTTAGTCATTAGTGAGTATCAGATCAAAATTTAAGTGTTAGTTTGCAGAGATTTCATAGGTTACAGAACTTCAACATGAGCTGACATTAGCTAGAGAAGCATTGGGGTCGAGGTGTGTTGTTGGGTGCGTACTGACGACGAGTCTCAATCACTATGACTATGATTGTTATTAACTAATTGCATAGATCTAATATTATACTACTATTCTCGTTTCCTTTAATTCTAAGAGGAACATAGGGCTTCAGCCGAGCGTCTCAATTGCGTTTGGTTCTCTGCTAAAGTTTTCACCTGGCTCCAAGTCTGCCCACATGCTTTCATCTTCTCTTCACATCACCTCCTCAAGGTGACCCTTGCACTGACTACCAACTCGCCGATTCCCTTTGGGGTTCCACTCGAGCAATGGCTTGTCTAGTGATGTCACTCATTTGATGGTTTCCTCAGAGTACGGCCAAGTCAATGCACCTCCGTTTGTTTCTGCCTGTTTGTTGCACAATCACTTCCTGGTTGGTTCGCACCCAGAGATCCCTGTTGCTGACCTTTTCTGGCTGGCCATCTGATCTTGAGTATTGAGCGACGACAGCTGTTAATCAACGTCTGAAGTTTGTTTGAGATGCTCTTCATGAAGCGCTGACCAAGTCTCTGATCCGTACAGTAAGTAGCACTGACTTCACATTGAAGTTGAAAATCCGGATCTTGTTCTCATTTTCATGCTGAGTGATGTTGACCTCCACATAGACTTAAAGGTAATGAAAGCCTGTCTTGATTTTCCGATTCTGGCTTTGATATCCTCGTCAGTTCCGTCCGCCTGTAGTTGAAACAATGCTTCTCAGGTAGGTAGGTAGGCGAAGGAGGTTGTTTCTGTCAGGTTCCTCCCATTTATGCTGGTCAATTGTTGTCTGTTGTTGTTGTTGTTGCTGTTGATGTTGGCCAGGAATCTTCATCACCACATTTGTTTTCTCTATGTTCCCTGAAGTGAAGTCTATCTCCTGTGGATGCTTCTTCTATGGCCAACTAGTTACTTTTTACTTGCATATCTTCCAGTTTGTGGGAAATCAGACATATATCATCGGTGAAGTCCAGATCCTCCAACTTTTTGTTTGGGCCCATTTTATGCTTGTTTCCTCATTGCCCGCCCTCTGTCGCATTATTCAGTCTACTACACTCAGGAAGATCATTGGCTATAGTAGGCAGCCAGCCTGCTTTGTCTTACTGCCGTCTTCACTTCGAAGGATTCCGTAGGTTTCTCGTTGTGGATTACTTGACATATAGCATTGTCGAACAACTGTTGGATGAGATGTATAATTGTCGGTGGCACCTCGTAGTAGCGAAGTAGTTGTCAAATCACCTCTCGCTCGACGCTGTCTAGTGAAAGCCTTTTCAAAGTCAATGAAGTTGAGTGAGGTGGAGAGGTGACTGCCATTCCAAGCTTTGTTCAATGATGATTCGTAGTAAGGTGATTTGATTAATACATTACTTTTTTTTGATTTACAGCTTGATTCCACACTGTATTTTTGGCACAAGTATGGAATTTTCAGCATGGATATCGGTAGCCCAAATTTTGCAGGCTGACCATAGATATCAGGTGTGCGTCGGCGTGGGCTCGAACCCCGGACCGTCTGCATGGTCGGCGAGAGTCTTAACCACTGTGCAACCGACGCACTTTTTTCTCCTGAATCCAGTCTGTTCTTGTCGAAGCTTTTTATCCAGATGGGCGTGTTTGATTCTCTACACTGTACTATATTCCACGGAATAATTCGATAAAAATACTGTTATTGAATGTGATAACCCATGTGCTGTCTTACCACTCTCACTCTTATTATTGTTATTATTATTTTCTTAATTTTCAGCCATACGCCGTCACTGCATGTCATTCATCATCAATGTGTAATGAGGACGCCAATAATAAAAATAATATTGATTCAATCATTTCAATACCTGAGAGTACAGGTGATCCTTATTCCCTGACAGTTTGAAACAGTATACACTTCCAACACCGCTGAACAACACTCATCATGATAACAGTGGTACAGTTACGGATGCTGCTACCACCACTAATACTACTACAACAAAGGCATGGACTAAGAAGACAACAGTGACTAACGTTGGTATTACTGCTAATACTAATAATAATGACAGTACCACTGTTGAAGAACTTCTACCTTATGATTATTCGGCTTCAAATAAATCAACCCTTTTTGATTTGTCTCAGACTTCATTGAATAATCACAGTAATCCTTCAGAATGTACAAAAATGAACAATAACAATAATAACGGTGATAATAATAATAATAATAATCGTGGTGATAAAACATGGCCGGATAATTATGTCTGTAAGTTCATTTTTCTTTATTCCCCTTGATGAATTTGAATAAAGCAAGAACAACAGTGTGATTTGTGCAAAATAAGAGTGGTACCATCATTGCTTATTTCGTTGACCTCTCATCAGGTCACCTCCTTACAGCCTAAATAAATCATGAGGTTTACGTACAGAAAAGTTTTAACATACTTACAAATTTTACATATTGTCAGTTGACAGAAAGTTCCTCAATTAGTGAACAGTGCTCAGAAAATTGTGCTTATATCGTTTTTCACACAAGCAGTTCAAGTTTAAACAAAATAAGTGTGTGCATACAATGATGAGCGAGTTACGTAATAAAGAAGAGATATGCATGAGATGCTGAGTGACTAATAAATTAGGTAACAATGTATTGTGTTCAACTCAAATCATAGAAACACCCTATGACCTGTGTAGAGGAGATGTCCGGTAATGGCTCTACTATGAGTGTTTGTTCCCAGACATCTCCTCGACAGGAGTCGTGAGGTGGAAGTCGAGAAATCCTTGTAAAATATTAATAGACAAAGGAGATCGATTCTCCTCAAGTCTGCCAACAGAAGCAATTTCTATCAAACGCTTGAAACCAGATTTAGTCTTTCCTTGCCTTGGTAACTGGATGTCTTTATTTTTTCTCTCATCTGATTTGGCTTTAACCTCACGCGCCTTTTATAATCTGTAGTTTTGCTTGTCTCTTGTTTCTATGATTTGAGTTGAACTCAATACATTGTTACCTAATTTATTAGTCACTCAGCATCTCATGCATATCTCTTCTTTATTACGTAACTCGCTCATCATTGTATGCACACATTTATTTTGTTTAAACTTGAACTGCTTGTGTAAAAAAACGATATAAGCACAATTTTCTGAGCACTGTTCACTAATTGTGGAACTTTCTGTCAACTGACAACATGTAAAATTTGTAAGTATGTTGAAACTTTTCTGTACGTAAACCTCATGATTTATTTAGGCTGTAAGGAGGTGACCTGATGAGAAGTCAACGAAATAAGCAATGATGGTACCACTCTTATTTGCACAAACCACCGTTGTTTGTAAGTTCATTTTTCATTCCTTTCCCCTTTGGTTTTTTTTTAGTTTTTGGGAGAGAAGGTGTTGAACTCACCAAGTGGGATTGCTAGTCCCCTGCATTTTCAATCCACCCTCACTTATTCTAGGTTGGGAATCTAACCCAGACGTTGAGAATCGCTGATCATCATTGCAACAGTGAACCACTGACGCAAATGTTTATAATTTTATTTGGAAAATAGTTTCTGCTTGAGAAACATTTTTCTAACTCATGAATCACTAATCATTAGAGTTGCCTGCAGTTCTAATGAGAAGTCGTGACGTCCACCTCTTGGGGAATCAGAACAAATACTCGCTACTAATAACATTGGCTGGTGCCCGTGCTAAAATTCATGAAGCGACAGAAGTTGACATCTGTGGGCTTGCTTTTGGGTGGGGTTACAGTGTCTAAAATGGCCTACGAGCTTGCCTGAGTTCAAACCACAGTTAGTTGATGCATACTGGCAATGAGTTCCAAGCACTTGGACGACACAACTGTCTGATACTTCCCCCCCCCTCCAAGTTGGTTCTAAATGGATGGTTCTCTAACTGATACCAGTCTATGACCAAACTTGAAACAAAGTCGTATCCCTACAAAGAAAGATTTGATAATTAAGATAGTTATAATGATTCGTCACTAAGGAGTGAGACACCAGTGCCATCCTTCTAGTCTTTGGGTATTGGCGTAGACTGAATTTTACCGTCAGTGAAGTTTTTTAACAAACTAGACTGCTTATTCTCACCGCTGACTTCAACTTGATGTTAGCTGGTTTGGGAGAAATTGGCTGTAAGCCCTACTAGGACCTACGTGGTATAATTGTTAGCACTCGTCAGTCAGATGTGTTTACCCTCTTTCGAGATTCTAATACACTTCACTTAGCGCTGTGGTCATAAACGTCTCACTACTGAACTATTCGAGTTAACAGCTAACCTGTTGAGCTTGTAGGAGATCGATTAATTTCGGTGTAGATTTCATCATAAAGCTGCATCACTTAGACAGACTATTAGATATCTTCAATTCACTCAATGCTGTCTGACTTTCAGCTATCCTCCACCCCCCCGGCTTCCCAGCTAAATGACACTACTGGTTATGAATAGCCAGAAACCACTCGTATTCGACAGCAGTACTTGTTGGCCAGATCAAAATCCTCTAGCATTCGACTATGTCGATCGGGAAGTTCTCTGGAGATGCTTGGCGGTAAAGGGAATTCCAAGAAAATATATTGCACTGATTAAGGCACTCTACTCGTACTCATACAGCCAGGTGAGGGCTTACGGCGAGCTGTCATCTGAACTGATGACGACCAGTGGTGTCCGTCAAGGATGCCCATTATCTCCTTTTCTATTCAACTTCATCATAGATGTGTTAATGGACTTAACCCTAGGTGACTTCAGCGACTCAGGGATTGACTTACTACCGGGGAATAATCTCGTTGACTTGGAATATGCAGACGATATAGTCCTTCTAGGCGAAGACGCTGACGAAATGCAGAGTCTTCTAAACACCTTGAACAGCAATCTACGAATGTTTGGAATGCGATTCGCCCCCGCCAAATGCAAGATGATGTTACAGGACTGGACTACATCGACGCCTAGTTTAAAAATAGGAAGTGAAGTGGTAGAGCACGTTGACCGCTTCACTTATTTGGGAAGTACCATCAGCCAGTGCCAACGGGTTGATCTCTGAGGAAATCTCAGCACGAATACAGGGGGCTCGTTTCGCATTTGTTAGTTTACGCCGACTCTGGCGTAGACCAGATGTTCGACTATCGACCAAAGGGCGGGTGTACTGCTCATCAGTCCGCTCCGTCCTCCTTTATGGTTGTGAGACCTGGCCACTGAGAGTGGAAGACATGAAAAGACTAGCTGTCTTTGATCATAGGTGCCTGCGTTCTATTTCCCGTGTAAAGTGGCATAATAAGGTGAGCAACATGCAGGTTAGGCGTAGAGTTCTAGGTAAACAGGGGAAATCAATCGACGAAGTCGTGAAGCTACAAAGACTGAGATGGTTAGGACATGTGTTACGTATGCCAAGCCATCGCCTCCCTCGACGAGCTATGTTAACGGATATAGGTCAGGCCGGAAAAAAGCTAGCGGCGGTCAAACAAAAACTTGGCATCAGTCAATGAAATCCACAACAGTTGGTCTAAGCCACGTAGGAAGGTGTAGACTTCCAGGCTGGGGTCCTCGGGACGGTAAAAATCTATGGTTGAAAACAATTGGTGACATGGCTCAAAACCGTTCTCAGTGGCGCAGATGCATCCACTCCTTGTGATGTATGATCTTCAATGAAACTGTTTTGTTCTTCGTTATTACTCCTTTGTCTCACCCCTCTACTCACTGTTTCTATTATGCTTTTCTTGTACTTTCTTCTCTTTCTTCGCGTGCTACACGGAGTGTGGCGACTTGAACTTCCGCACATTTGTGCAAAGTTCTATGTCGAAAACAGACAGACAGACAGAAAAACTATAAGGCCATTCATAACTGAGCTCATAAGCGGTGTGCTTGGATAGACCTAGGCTAGACAACTGAAAAACAGTCCAAACTATCCTCAGTGATTGACTAACTGATTTCAAAACAGAACTATACACAGAAGTCTTTAAGTCCGAATTCCGATGGGTGCGTACTGATGAAGAGTCCCGAACTAGGCTGACGAAACAGCTGTCCAGTACACTTCCAGGTGGTTTTCCAATGGTTCTCTAACTAATGTCAGCTCATGATGAAATCCTGTAACAGAAGTCCTTAGACAGCTATAATGTTTGGTTACACACTCGAAAATAACATATGCTTATGTACCTTTTTGTGAGTAAATTTCAGTGAAAGGTGTGCATCGTTGAACGCTTTTTAATATTTGGCAGTCAAGCACTGTATAACTATATTCGATATATGGTTTCATCAGTAACCAGCTAGCCAGAAATCCGATGAATTGAAGTAATTCGCCCATCGGAGCTGAGTCGCACTGCGTACATCAGAGTGATAAGGTCGGCTCCAAACAAGGCGAACAATATTTAGATTTGAGTAATATACAACTACTTGCATCAGTCAGTTAGTAGTATATACTTATACACATCAACTTTTTATTTTCTAGTGTTCATTTTGTGCTGTGACAAGATTCCGACGTCTGACCTAACTACAAAACTCTAGCTGATAGACGACAACACGAATAGTTCATCAGCCACTAACTCGACGAATACTGCAACACATCAATCTGCACCATCCGAAACGATCTCAGGTGGTCTCATCGTCATCTTCATCGGAAAGTAGCTTATTTTTGAAAAGAGAGAGAGAGAATTTAGGGGTAGAACCAATTTATTTATATGCGATCATTCTCATTACATTTCAATAAATTCTTATTCCTTTGTATCATTTAATATATCGATTTTTATTACATGTGAGACTTACTGATGAAACCGATACTTTGGTTGTCATTTTACTTCAATATCTCCTTTTCATTTCTTGTAAATTCCTCAGCACTGTCATCTTCTTCGCAAACATCGAATTCCCCATACTGACATGCATAACTATCCCTTCCAGTATGGTTGTTATAAAAGCCTTCTTCGTAGATATCTTCTTCAATGATTTCCTCGTCATCTCCATCTCTAAGATCACTGTTACTTTCTGATGATGACGATGATGTATGCCAGACTTCAGTGTATTCATATTCTTCTACATCCTCCTCCTCCTCTTCTTTCTGCTTCTCCTTCTTCTGATGTTTGTCATCTTGAATACCTCCACACAGAGTGTTCTGCTTCTTGAACATACCATTCAACTGTTGTCCAACGTTATTCGGTTTATGATAAATTCGCGTATGCTTAAATTTTCTGGTAATTTTACAAATCACCGAACTATCCACTGTGTCCTCCTCCGTAAAGGAGCTTCTATGACTACCTGTACCGCTAGTACCATCATCATCATCGTCATATATGCAGTCAGTACTGGTATATTCTTCCACAGGGGTATATTCATCTTCATCAGTACTAAACGAGGTGTGTAAAGCTATGCAAAGTTGACCAATCATTTCGTTGCCATTACAACAGTCATTATTATAATTCGTTAAAGTTTCACTGGTGGAATAATCCGTATCGGTTTGACATCCATCGTAGTCATAATCAATGTCGTACTCTTCTATGTCAGTGTCATCACTAGTTGCCTCTACACAACTGTCAGATGTTGTTGGTGCCAGTGGTGTCACCCTCACTCCCGCTGATTTCGTTAAAATATTATATGTATACTTTTTTAGACTATATCCATAATCTTTTATAACATTCTCAGCTCTATTGTGATGACTGTCAGTGTTATGATTAACAATCTCATAAACTTTTACTGATATAATCCTTGGCTGTTGTATAAAAAAGATGCTAGACATCTGCTTTAATACTTAAATTTTTATATATATAAATATACATATATATATATATGTTTTAGAATAACCATCACGGTTGTAAGTGTGCTATATTAATCACTCTATCACCATAAAAAAGCATAAAAGCCCTCCATAAGACAATTCATCAATAACAAAGATCAACGGGTTACGTAAACACACATAGATACCTATCGAATTATATACCTACTCAGTTATAGATAGACATTGTATATGCATGTAGGTGTGAGTGTTTCGAGTCTGGGTGTGTGTGTGTGTGTGTGAGTGTCTACATGTGAGCACATGCATCTGTGACTACAATTAAACAATCCATTAATTAGCACATTTGCACAGAATCATATGATGTTTTGGTAATTTATTTATTTTTATTTATTTTTATTTTTGATTACAGCTTGATTCCACACTGTATTTGTAGTACAAGTATGGAATTTTCAGCATGGATATCGGTAGCCCAAATTTTGCAGGCCGACCATAGATATCAGGTGTGCGCCGGCAGGGGATCGAACCTCGGACCATGTGCATGGTCGGCGAGAGTACTAACCACTGTGCCACCGACGCACAATAGATTATATGGAGTGATAATAAGCATGTTAAAGTTTGGTGTAAACACAGGCATCAGACAAGGGTGTTTATTATCTATCACCCACGATGATATTCCTAATTGTGGTGGACTAACTGGATTATAAGTCAGACAGTGAGTGGGAAACGAGAAGAGAAACAGGGATATCCTGGACCGACCGACGAGAAGAACCTAGAAGACCTGGATTTCGCGTGTGGATAATTTATGTTTGATGTCACACAAAATCGAAGACTTACAAGCAAAAACCGACCGACAAACTGGTCGAAGAAGCAGCCGGCGAAGACAGGACTCCAGATGAACTTAGACAAGACGGAGGTTATGAGGACAACCAACCAACCATTAACATCAATAATAAGAACACCAGCAACATCCAGCTCAAATCACCATCAACGGGAGCAGGGATTTGAAAGAGGTTACTTCATTCACTCATTTATCTAGCTAGGGAGCATTGTCTCAACTACAGGAACGGAGGAACGGACCAGGAGGATGTCAAATCGAGCGAGAATCGGGAAGGTAGGCGAGAAACACATTCATTAATCAACTTGAAACAACCAATCTGGAAATCGTCGTCACTCAGCCAGCATCAACAACAAAATTCAGTCGGATTTTCAATACAAAAAATGTCAAGTCAGTCAGTTCTTCTATACGGAAGGGATTGGTAACAACCAGTGGTGTCCGACAAGGATGTCCAGTTTTCCCATTTCTGTTTAACTTCATCATAGATATGCTGATGGAAGTATCGTTAACTAAACGTAATGACTTAGGAATTGACTTGTTACCAGGGAATATAGTTTTATGGACTTAGAATATGCAGATGACATAGTCCTGTTAGGGGAGGATGATGAGAAAATGCAGAGTCTTCTGAACACCTTGAGCAGCAATCTTCGTATGTTTGGCATGCGATTCGCCCCTACAAAATGTAAGATGCTGCTACAGGACTGGACCACGTCAACCCCTAACTTAGTGATAGGGAGTGAAGTGATAGAACATGTTGACCACTTCACCTATTTGGGAAGTTGTATTAGCACCAACGGACTGATTGGCGATGAAATCTCAGCACGGATCCGAAAAGCTCGAGCTGCTTTCGCTGACTTACACCATCTCTGGCGTAGGCGTGACATCCGGTTATCAACCAAGGGACGTGTGTACTGCTCATCAGTTCGCTCCGTCCTTCTCTATGGCTCTGAAACATGGCCAATGCGCGTTGAAGACATGAAAAGGTTGACTGCTTTCGATCATAGATGTTTGCGATCTCTGTCTCACGTTAGATGGTATGATAAGGTAAGTAATGTTGACGTTAGGCTTAGAGTGTTGGGGAAAGAGGGAAAATCAATCGACGAGGCTATAAAGTTACATAGACTGAGATGGCTAGGTCACGTGCTGCGCATGCCTAACCACCGCCTCCCCCGACGGGCTTTGCTAGCTGATATAGGTGCAGGTTGGAAAAGAGCCAGTGGTGGCCAAACAAAAACATGGCATCAATCCATGAAATCCTTGACAGTTAAACTGAGTCAGGTAGGGAGATGCAGACTCCCGGGTTGGGGCCCTCGGGACTGACTCTAGGAATCAATGGCTGGAGACAATAGGTGACATGGCTCAAAATCGTTGTCAATGGCCAGCGCAGATGTACTCAGTCTCTGTAATCTTTCATATTCCTTTCTACCATTACCCATTCTGTTTCACTTTTATACTTATCAGACTGTATTGATTCTCTTCAGTCATCTTCTTGTCTACCTTCGTGTGCTATTTGGAAGGTGGCAACTGGAACTGGTGCACTTCGGTGCCATGTTCTATGTTGAATCCAGACAGAGACAGACAGACGGAAGGGATGAGAAACTTGGCGGGCGGGCGCGTGGGTCACAATGAATATTTCCAACAGGCTATTGCACACCTTCATCATCAACAACTAACTGTCTTCGCTGGCTCTATACTGAAGATCAGATCAGATCAGATGGCTGGGCCGGAAAGAATCACCAATACGAAACTATGGGAACAAACAAACAAAACAAGAACCAATCGCCCAAGAAAACAAATATGCAGGAGAAAGTGGAGATGGACTGGACACTCGCTCGCTGAGAAGGCTGGCCGCTGGGTGACAGGCCATCGCTCGAGTGGAACCAGGCCGAAACGGAAGCGGTGAGTGGGATGTTCAAGTGTGGCTGACATGGAGTAGGTCGTGTGAGGAGAAGTTGAAAGAGTATGGACTAACATGAATACAGGTGAAAAGTACAGTAGAAGGAAGAAAGAAGCAAGTGGAGAAGTGGAGGTGAAGCCCTATGTTCCACTCGGAACCCAACGGAACAATAAAAGTAATAAGCATTAAGCACTGAATAAGTGTATTTTAGTCATTAATACTGACCAATGTTCATTGGTGATCAGGTTATAGAATCTGAGATAAAATCAACTACATGGGCGTGTGTGTGTGTGTGGTCCAGAGGGTTCGATTCTTAGGCGATGTACACCTAAACCTCCCTGGAGTCAGTAGTAAAAACGGTGAAGAGGGAAGTTTAATCGTGAGGTTAATAATCCCACCAACCCTCCCCCTCCATAGAAAGGATAAAATCACTGCTACTTAATGCTTTAAAGCTGAAGTTTGAAGCATGAGATTTCATTTGGAATGAAAACAATCAATAAATTGTGACGCTCACTGGTTCGTTTTCTAGCTGGTAAGAAGCTATGGACCTAGGGTTTTTCTTGAAAGAGTGTAAAGCCCTATAAACTTTGAATTCAACCACCTAGGTTCTTATCTCACTAGGGGCCTTGAATTGAGCATTCATAAGTGGAGATTTGGTTCACTGGTTCAAGAACTGGATTTGTTTTCAGGAAATCCTATCCTAGCTACTTCGACCCAGACGACCATAAAGAATAAGTGTTTCGGTTATCGACCTGGCTGGTGCATTAAAAAGTCTGTTTTTGCGCGACTTATTTTCATCTTATTGTATTTTATTGATAAGAGTAAAATTATTATTTCCTAATGTACTTTGTCATCTTATATTGATTTCATTCAAATGCCTAACCATCAATTTTTACTCATGTATATAAATGAAGCGAGAAAGTTGTGTGGGTAATGCTCTTATATGATTATAAGTAGCGATAAATTGTACTCGAAACGTGGTCATTAGTAAATATAACTGTATAACGGGCACACTGTGTGATTTTATCAAAATAAAATTTTATGCATAATGGAGTTGTACTCTACTAACGCAGTGCCCAAGTTTTATCCTTATATCGATCTAGGTGACTGAGTTGTAACAGTTTCCACTGGGATGTATCTCTTTAGACATTCAAACTTACATCGACAGGTGCCAAAGCTGAACACGACAACAATAATGTATCCTAGCAGCGACTGACCTCCTATATTGCGTATAATTAATCAATAAGAAGGTTATAATTGTCATGCTAACTAAAAGAAAGCTGTTCAAACAAAGGACTAGTTAAACGCATTATTATCTCTCTGGATAACAACGTCAGCATTTATTTCAATATATGCTTCATAATTTTCTTTATTAGTTTGTTTATTAGATGTATCACACAGTCAGTGAAACAGTATTATTTGCTAGATGACAAGGTTTCGAACACAATTCACTTATTGTTCATAATCATATCAATTGTAATCACACGACTTCGAAACTTGACTTTTATAGTTTTCTTTGTCTTCTCCTATTTGTCGTCGTTGGGGCAGTAGAATTTTCCAGATATCCAGCTAGACAGGTGTTGAATCATTCCTATTACATGTATTTGCAGTTGATTCGATAAACAAAGCTTCCGTTGACATCAGTCTCTCCCTGCACCCTGTGACAGTGGTCTGGCTGGCTAGAACTGCTGTTTGATTTGAAAAGTTCGTAACTACTCAAGTTACAGGACTGGACTACACTGACTCCTAGTTTAATAATAGGGAGCGAAGTGGTAGAGCACATTGACGTTCCCACTTATTTTTGAAGAATCAACAACCCCAACGGGTTGATCTCTGATGCAATCTCAGCACGGATACAGAGGCCTAGTTTCGCATATGCCAGTTTATGCCGTCTCTGGCGTAGACGTGATATCCGACTGGATATCGACCAAAGGGTGTGTGTACTGCTCATCAGTCCGCGCCGTCCTCCTTTATGGCTAGCTGTGAGACCTGGCCATTGAGAGTGGAAGACATGAAAAGATTATCTGTCTTTGATCATAGGTGCCTGCGTTCTATCTCCCGTGTGAATTGGTATAATAAGGTGAGCAATATTGAGGTTAAGTATCGCTTCGAGTGCTAGTTAAGGAGGTAGAGGAAATCAATCGGCGAGGCTGTGAAATTACATCGACTGAGATGCTTCGGACATGTGTCACGTATGCCTAGTCATCGCCTTCCTCGACCGACAGGCAATGTTAGCTGACATAGCGTCAGGCTGGAAAAGAGCTATCGATGGTCAAACCAAAACACGGCTTCATCAGTCAATGACATCTACGACAGTTAGTCTAAGCAACGTAGGAAGATGTAGACTTCCTGGTTGGGATCTTCAGGACGGTAAAAACCAATGGTTCGAAACAACTGGTGACAATTGGCTCAAAATCCCCGTTCTCAATGGCTAGCGGAGATGCATCTACTCCTTTTGACTTATGATTTCCAGTGAAACTATATTGTTCTTCGTTACTACTATTCCTTTGTCTCACATCCTGCTTACTGTCTCTAATATGCATTTCTTCTACTTTCTTCTGTTGATTTGTGTGGTACAAGGAGGGAGTGTGGCGACTTGAATGACTGCACATTGGTGCAAAGTTCTGTGTGAAAAACAGACAGACAGACAGATTCAAGCCATCAATCACTCAGTAGTATATATCATCGCGTTACTTCGCTTACTTTCTTGACTGCCTTTTATGGTATCACGCAAATCACACAGTGTGTGTGTGTGTACGATCTGAATATTTTTGATGGTTTCTCATAAGAAACCGTGAAATTGTACAGTCTGAAAACATGAATAATCATGTTTATGAAAAGTATTTACGAGTCTTGAAATCTTAAAGAAGCAAACTTCGTTCAGGTGGATATCTTTGGTGTAACCGCGAACGTTTAATTATCTTTCCTGGACATCATATTCAGTGCTGGTTTCACCGTTGTTGTTTTCTGTAAAGATGATGTAAGCGTTTGAAAACTAAAGTTAATAAGCATTTAAATCTTTATTTGTTAGTTAATCACCCATTTTCAAGTGCTACTTTTCAGAAATTTGGTTGACGTCAGGTTAGACAGTAAAATTTAAGTCAGTGAATACTACAGCATACTGGATATTATTTGGGACTCTTCAGGAGTACACAATCATCATCTCTTATCAAGGATTTAACCCTATCTCAGTGAATGAATGACCAGCACTTTGATCTCACCATTGGGAACGCTCAGGTTGGTCTCTTCTTAAGTCATGGTCGAGTAGTATTGAAGAGTCGCACGTCAAGACGAAACAGATCCCCAGTACCAAAGCCCTTGTGGCTTTCAGCAGTCCACTAGCTGATGTGTGACTTAATCATCTAACTTGTATTATTACTATATTATTGTTTCCTTTAGTTCCTAGAAGAATATAGAGTTTTAGCCGCACGTCTCAACTGCGTTCAGTTCTCTGCTAGAGTTTTCACCTGGCTCCACGTCTGTCCACATGCTTTCATCTCCTCTTCACATCACCTCCTCCAAGTCAACCTTGCACTGACGACCAACTCACCGCTTCCCTTTCGGGTTCCACTCGAGCAATGGCTTGTCTAGTGATGTCGCTCACTTAATGGTTTCCTCAGTGTATGGCCAATCCACCTCCATTTCTTCCCGCATATTTGTTGCGCAATTAGATCCTGCTGCATCGGTTCGCTACCAGAGAACCCTATTACTGATCTTTTCTGGCCTCCATCTGATATTGAGTATTGAGCGAAGACAACTGTTAATGAAGGTCTGAAGTTTGTTTGAGATGTTCTTTATGACGCGCAGTGCAAGTCTGTGATCCGTATCGTGAGTAGCACTGACTTCACATGGGAGTTGAAAATCCGGATCTTATTTTTGATGCTGAGTGCTGTTGACCTCCACACAGACTTAAGGGTAATGAAAGCCTGTCTTACTTTTCCGATTCTGGCTTTGATATCCTCCTCAGTTCTGTCCGCCTGTAGTTGAAACGATGGTTCCCAGGTAGGTAGATAGATAAAGGAGGTTGTTTCTTTCAGATTTCTCCCATTTATGCAGGCTGATTGTTGTCTGTTGTTGTTGCTCAGGAATCTTCATCACCACATCTGTTTTCTCCATATTCACCTGAAGTGAAGTCCTATCTTCTCTCGATGCTTCTTCCTCTGTCAACTTGTTGCTTTTCACTTGCATATCTTCCATTTTGTGAGAAATCAGACATATATCATATTGGCAAAGTCTAGATCCTCGACGTTTTTTGTGTGGGTTCATTTTATGCCTGTCCTCTTGTTACCCACTGTCTGTGACATTGTCCAGTCTATCGTAATCAGGAAAAGCATTGGATATCCTAGGCAGGCAACTTGTTTGACTTCCGTCATCATTTCGAAGCGTTCCTTGAGTTTCCTGTTGTAGATGACTTGTAATCCCCATTTTATTTCATCTTATCAAAAAAATCAATAATCCCAGCTTCTCAATTTTATCTTTAAATTTGTCTTCAGATGCTCAAGTATTACCAAAACATTTACGTGATGTTGATGACAAAAATCAATATGCTGATTCAACTTCAATTGATCTCTATAGTACAATGAATACCTTTCAACCGGATATATTTAATACACTTGATAATTGTGAATTAATGAATTTAAAACCCCTAGAAAATTTATCATTGAATAAACCTATGGACTGTATAGAAAGTTTTATTAGTAAACAATGTATTGCCCCATTGACAAGCGGTGAAGAAGAATTCGGAGGAGGCGGAACAGAAGAAGCCTTACAATCTTCACCATCAACAAATTCGCTGGCTTCAGCGTGCTCTTCAACGAATGCCTCCTCCTCCTCGTCGACTTCAGCATCTGCCTTATCCTCCTCGACAACATTCGATTCAAAGACATCTATCTCTTCATGGAATTCATCTGAAATGTATTCATCCCCGATAGTTAGTAAATCATTGTTAGTTGGTCAACAAAATCCTGTACAAGTGACAAAAAGAAATCGATCTATTCAATCTATTAGTGCAAATCATCGATCGGCAGTAGACAGTCATCATCATCATCAACCATCAGAACAACAACCTCCTCGTCATTATGGAAAGTCTTCAGAACAACACAACACTACAGATATGATGAATGGATGTAATGAATTGCCGAAGAAAACTAAAAAAATTGGTCGACATATTAGAAAATTTTTTCATAAGTAAGTTGTGTCAATTACCCGCTTAATTATTGTTTTATTGATCAGTAAAATTGATTTATGCAATCAATGTTTTGAAGTGTCTGGTCCTTTGTGTCACTGCTGATTGAATACTATCAGTCTGGTTTGTAATTCAGTTAGTCATCAGCCCGAGGAACTCAGCAGTGAGATGTGCTTCAAATTGATGTCAGGTAGTTCGGCGGGGGGGGAGGGTTAATCGGTAGGAACATCTGAGCCTCGGTTAGTTAAGACCAAAGCTGACTTCTTGTGATCTGAGAGCAGAAGATAACACAAAAAGACGATTATTCTTCGATAAATCTATGGTTCTGTTCGACTATAATAAAATCAAATTATCAAAGTTATCCTCAAAAAGTGTCGTTAGGTAGCTAAATATTATTATTATTAGTATTGTTCTCTTGGGTTCCAAGTGGGATATTCAGCGTCAACTGCTCGTCTCCACTTGCTTCTGTCTTCCTTCTACTGTACTTTTCACCTCCATCCTTCTTAGTTCATACTGTTGCAACTCCTCCTCACACGATCTCCTCCCTCCTGTCACCCTCTCACTCACGTCCCACTCGCCGTTTCCCTTTCGCCCTGGTTCCACTCGAGCGATGGCCTGTCACCCAGCGGCCTCCTCAGCGAGCGAGTGTCCAGTCCATCTCCACTTTCTCCTGCATATTTGTTGGTTGGCGATTGGCTCTTGTTTTGTTTGTTTGTTCCCATAGTTTCTTGTTGGCGATTCCTTCCGGCCTGGCCATCTGATCTGATATTCAGTATAGAGCCAGCGAAGACAGTTGTTGATGAACGTAACGTCTGCAATAGCCTGTTGGAAATATTCTTTGTGACACGCCCGCCAAGTTTCTGATCCATTCCGTATAGAATAACTGACTGACTTGACATTGTTTGTACTGAAGATCCGACTGAATTTTGTTGTTGATTCTGGCTGAGTGACGACGATTTCCAGATTGGTTGTTTCAAGTTGATTAATGAATGTGTTTCTCGCCTGCCTTCCCGATTCTCGCTCGATTTGACATCCTCCTGGTCCGTTCCGACTTCCTGTAGTTGAGACAATGCTCCCTAGCTAGATAAGTGAGTGAATGAAGTAACCTCTTTCAAATCCCTGCTCCCGTTGTGTTAGTGATTTGAGCTGGATGTTGCTGCTGTTCCTGTTGTTGTTGTTGTTTGGTTATTTTCATAACCTCCGTCTTGTTCACTTATGTTCACCTGGAGTCCTGTCTTCGCCGGCTGCTTCTTCGACCAGTTTGTCGGTCGATTTTCGCTTGTAAGTCTTCGATTTCGTGTGACATCAAACATAAATTATCCACACGCGAAATCCAGGTCTTCTAGGTTCTTCTCATCGGTCGGTCCAGTATATCCCTGTCTTCTCGTTTCCCACTAACTGCCTGATTTATAATCCAGTTAGTCTACCATAATTAGGAATATCATAAGTGATAATAAGCACCCTTGTCTGACTCCTGTGTTTACTCCAAAGGCAGCTATTTATATTCTATGTTATTATTATTTCCTTCGATTCGGAGTTTATCACAGGGTTTTGACAACACATCTCTTGTTTCATCTATGCTCTGGCATCCTCTTCAACTGTCTGGCCATTCGTTTTCTCATAATCTGTCATCTCCTTCTCCATCTCACATGATCTTCTCTATGTTATCCTCTCACCAACGACCCCCTCGTCGCTTCCCATCGGGATTCCATTAGAGCGATGGTCTGAACTGAGCGCTATTTCATTTTAAAGTCTCCTTGACGTATCCTCAGGCAGCTATATAGTCCAGCTAATCTTCTGAGTACAAAATAAGTACTATGGAACGAGGTTACTTAATCAAAATTCAACCGTAAAAAGTACCTGAGAGTCAAGTAGAATATTCCTCCAGGAAAAGTGGGAAGGGATCAAAACGCTGTCTGCAAGAACCGTTAAAGGGGAAGGATTTCTCAAACAATCTTTCCGTTACAGTGGTTTACCTGAAACCTTTCAGGAACTCATGTCCCCCTACTGATTGCTTTGAACGATGTAGCATGATTTCAGATTGTACCGCGATGACAAGCCGCCTAGTTTAGTGGTGACTACATTGTGAACTCGACCGATAGCACTCAGTCTGCACCAACACTAATAAGGACACTAGACCGACCAGCATATATGTGGATCGTATGTGCCGTGCAGCCGTTCACTGTGTTCCAATATACAGTAGTGACATAAAGCACTTGGATGTTTCCGACTACAGAAGCCTTCATTCCGATTCTAGCGTTTAGTTAGTTAACATGCTAGGTAATACTTGAATTAAGGTAAGTAAAATGTTCATTTTATGCACCAAGAAGGTGCGCCACGCAATAATAAGAAAACAATAATATATAATAATATAGGTAGAGAATGAGTAAGGACGTCTTCCGGAAAGAAAGCGGCTATATTTAACAAGACTAAACAACACTCGCCAGTTATTGTCAGAATGGAAAGAAAGAAGGAAATCACAGAACGTTTGCCAGTGATTGAGACTCTTAACCGTATCCGACAACGTTTCGAGACATCGATTCGAGATACCTCTAGGACCCAACCAGGGAGTTGTGATGCACCAACGCATACATCCTTCAGCCCACGATACCACATCATAGGCTGACCATCTCCTAGCTTTTTTCATCTAGTCCCGTACCTAGCAAGCATAAACCTGTACAGTGGCCTCTGGGATGATATTTATAGGATATGTTCAAGCCACCGAAGCTGGTGTTTCCAGATGACGATACTAAGTGAATGATAACCTCCAAGGTGTCCAAACACGCGCTGCCGGACCTTTGAATTACTCGCACGATGATGCCGTAGAAAGGAAGCAATTCCATGGAGACGGCAATGATAGAATACGCAGAGTCGCCGCATATCCTAAGCTCAAACGGTTTTCATAGGCGTAGAGTAAGACCACGCTCACTGAACCATTACAGACAAAACGTGTGACAGTCAAGCTTACATTGTGAAGGTTCCAGAGGTGGCTCAATTCGGAATATGCCACCTTAGCTTTCATGATACGGTCAGAAACCTTGGCCTTCACACCTCTGCTAGCATTCACACAACTAGACACATACACAAAACAATCCACAGATTCAAGCGGCAGGACATATGAGTTCTTTCAAGAATGTAGAAGGTCCTTGTCGATTTGTCCACAATTAGGAAGATCATAGGTGATAATAGGTAGCCTTGTCTTATTCCCGTATTCACTTAAAATGTATCTCTGAGTTTATTGTTGTGGATCACTTGACAAGTGGCAGTATCATATAGCCATTTGTTGAATGACGTTGACAAAGATTTTGACACTTCACTCTGTAATGTTGAAGTAGTTTGCCAAATTAGTTCTTGGTCAACGCTGCTGAAGGCCTCTCTGATGTCGATGAAGTCGAGGTAGAGTGATATTTGACTAACATTCCATGCCCTATTCGATAATAATGATGATGTGTAGAGGGGTGCAATTTGATCAGCACACGATTTGCCTTTCCTAAATCCAGCTTGTTCCTGCTGGCGCAGTTCTGAATCCAAGGTGACATGACTCAGTATCTTACCTGGCGTGGACAAAAATATGATTCGGCATCATTTCTTGTAGAGGCCTAAAACTACCTTCTTCGGTAGCTTGAAAAGGTATTCTTTCTTCCAGTTAGAAGTTACCTTTCATTCCTTTCAAAATTTTTGCAATTTTGGAGTAGGCATTTCCTCTGCGGTTTCTGGGTCTGTTTTCAGTGCTTCAGGGGGTAATTTCGTCTTGTCCTGCTGTAGTTTGGTTGAATTCAAGATATCTGTGTTTTTTTCGGAGTGTTGGTGTCCACTGGCAGACAGCTCTGTGGCTGTGTTTGTATTGTTGGTATATTTAGACGAGTGACAGGTGATGATCGGTTGAAGAGTCTTTTGAAATGAATGGTTGGTCAAAGTAAAAGCTTCTACCTACCAATGAATCCATGCATCGCTTAACAGTCGGTCTCAGCTAACCACTTAAGAAGGTATAGGTAGCTTTGACTGGGTGACGTCTTCAAGAAGAAATACCAAGAATGCTAGAGAATTTTTAGAAGCCTGCCTTGTATTCCAGTGAATCATCAATAAATAGACACATCGAGATAAACAAAATCCACCAACTGATAAGAAGGAATTCTCACACACACACAAAGGTTCAAAGTTCAAGTCAAAGAAATAACCAGCTTTAATACAAGCAGCCTAGAAGGTGTGAAAACACACAAAAACAACCAATCACGTCCAATGTCACCGGGAGACATGATTAATAAACTCGTGGAGAAATCTAAAAGCTCACTTCAATTCAAATTGAAGTATGCGCGCTGAAGATTTCGCCTAGTAGGGGGCGATGAAAGCTTCGCAAATTAACTATCCAGCTCAGAGAACACAACCACATCGAAATTACAACAAATCAGAATATCACACAAATAATAAAAGTGAAACTTGAAGGTATATAAAGATGAATAGAGGAAATTGTTTATTTACTAGACGAAAAAAGGTTAGTTAATTCTTGTCTGACACTGTTTTCATCACATAAAATATGTGACAAGTATGGTATCAGAGAATTTTTATACTTAGCTGTGCGAGCATACAGTTGTCTGAAGTTACCTCTACCTTGTTCTACCTGAGGAGATGCAAGGTGACAGCAGCTGAGGGTAAAGCGGATGCTCCAAGTCAGACAAAATCCCTATAGCAAAATTATTGCACGAAGTCAAGTGTCTATCGATAACAACATTAACTATGTGGTCCACTGAGACACCACTCACCCTACTGACCGTCTTCAGCCATTTACGAATTGTGGCATAGTCCTTTTTAAGCAAACCAGGAAAGAATAAGGGTGAACAATAAAGAAGAATAGGTAGGATGCAAGAGTTTATGAACTGTAATTAGGAGGGCTTGAATTATACCCAAGCGCCTTAACTTCTTAATGTAAAATGTCAGGCGGAATATTTTACTGGAGATCGCTAAGACATGGGAAGACCAGGAGAGATCAGAAGAGACAATATGT